GATTCTGCGACTTTGCTCAGCGATGTGCGAACTTGGCGCTCTATTTCACATTTCAGTGTTTTTGGTTTGATTATATATATTAAATTAAATTTATTATTTTTTTATGATTATTTATTAAATTATAATTTATGATTTCGTGTTTCAAATTTTATCATCCCGGGATATTTCCAGACTCTTGTTCGGACAGATTTCAGTGAGTTATTCCTAAAAAATTACAGGCCTACAATAAAAAAATACATATTTCCATGCAAAAAATGTACCACTTTGAGCACAGAAATATGGACATAATCAGACCGCTAGGGAGGTTAATATTTTGCTCCGGGTTCTGTCTTTGCATCTCCTGAGTTTATTTCTAGAGTCCTGAGAAGTAATGATCCCGCTGTATATAGGGCGATATCAGGTCTATATAGAGAATGATGGATGCAAATCAGCCAAGAGGTCTGATTGGTGTGTCTGCGATTCTATCACATGATGGTGTCTGATTGGCGTGTCTGCGAAGCTATCACATGATGGTGTCTGATTGGTGTGTCTGCGATCCTATCACATGATGGTGTCTGATTGGCGTGTCTGCTATCTTATGACATGGTGTGTCTGATTGGCGTGTCTGCGATCTTATCACGATGGTGTCTGATTAGTGTGTCTGCGGTCATATCACATGGCAGTCTGATTGGCGTGTCTGCGATCATATCACATGGCGGTGTCTGATTAGTGTGTCTGCGGTCATATCACATGGCAGTCTGATTGGCGTGTCTGCGATCATATCGCATGACGGTGTCTGATTGGCGTGTCTGCGATCTTATCACATGTTGGTGTTGATTTAGTGCGAACGAAGTGTCGGTGATTATCTGTTCCTGTCCTAATTAATCATGCTAGCTCTGTAGTGCGCGCACTTGAAGAAAACCCACACTGACACACGAGTTCAGTCTGTGAATACTTCTAATTTATTGGAATGGAAAAGTGAGTTTATATATGCAAGATGATGCAAACGTCACATGAGAGCAGCATGAGCATTATATTAGTCTATTGGTCGTTTTACATGAAAACAATCTTCCTTCAGAATATAGGCGTGATCTTCTTCTAGGTCTTATCTCTGAAAATAAATATTTCCTTTCTTCTCAAGTTCACTCGATGGGAGGGGTTGCTGAGCAGCCATTTTTGAGTTAAGGAGGACCACAAAGACCAGCAGGCAAAAGATATACACACAACATATATATTCATACAAAACATTTAGAAATATAAAAAGTATAAAAGTAGATATGTATAGAAAAATGTATATATTCAACAGGAAACCAAATAGGCATTTTTACCATATCCATCACAGTGTCTGATTGGCGTGTCTGCGATCATATCACATGGCAGTCTGATTGGCGTGTCTGCGATCATATCACATGGCAGTCTGATTGGTGTTGTCTGCGATCATATCACATGGTGTATTCACTTAACAGATTGGAATGAGCGCAACTCGATATGACAACTTAAAAATGAAAAATTAGTAGGAAAAGCTGCTAGCATAAAAAGGCATACCACGGCACCTCAATAATCAGAATAAAAGTCTTAATAATGCAGCGCTTGAAATTAATGTGCAATAACCAGATAGAACAACAACTGAGATATGTTCATAGAGTGTTCATATGTGGTACACTTAAGTCCGCACGACAGAAGGTATTCCAATACGGTAGAAATCACATGGTGCTGCGAAAAAGTCCCAGATGCTCCGTGAAAGGATAGTACAATAATGCACTTACCAGAAGTACATACAAACTGGGCGTTGTATGCAACAAATCCGTGAGGTCATCAAGGTCTGGTCACTAGTATGGCGCCATCTAGGGCTTGTAGTGGGTTCCCAGGAATGGTGTCACTCACGCTTGGGGGCCACATCAAACTCACCAAAGGGTCCAACGTCGTCCAGACTCCTGGCAGCTGCTCCACCTTAAATGGCTCGAAACATAACGAGCCCGGGAGGCAAAATAGTGCTGATAGTGTAGTAACGTTTATTTAGGGATCCAAAAAACAACAATAAACTGCAGGACACTCACATGTAGCACAGCATTGGCTTAAGGTATATCCCCATAAGGAAGCAATAAATCATAAGGTTGGCGTCAAATTGAGGGATTTAGGGGAATCCCTCAATTTGACGCCAACCTTATGATTTATTGCTTCCTTATGGGATATACCTTAAGCCAATGCTGTGCTACATGTGAGTGTCCTGCAGTTTATTGTTGTTTTTTTGGATCCCTAAATAAACGTTACTACACTATCAGCACTATTTTGCCTCCCGGGCTCGTTATGTTTCGAGCCATTTAAGGTGGAGCAGCTGCAGGAGTCTGGACGACGTTGGACCCTTTGGTGAGTTTGATGTGGCCCCCAAGCGTGAGTGACACCATTCCTGGGAACCCACTACAAGCCCTAGATGGCGCCATACTAGTGACCAGACCTTGATGACCTCACGGATTTGTTGCATACAACGCCCAGTTTGTATGTACTTCTGGTAAGTGCATTATTGTACTATCCTTTCACGGAGCATCTGGGACTTTTTTGCACCATGTGATTTCTACCGTATTGGAATACCTTCTGTCGTGCGGACTTAAGTGTACCACATATGAACACTCTATGAACATATCTCAGTTGTTGTTCTATCGGTTATTGCTACATTAATTTCAAGCGCTGCATTATTAAGACTTTTATATCACATGGCGGTGTCTGATTGGTATATCTGCAGTGGTTCCACATGGTGGTGTCTGATTGGTATATCTGCAGTGGTTCCACATGGTGGTGTCTGATTGGTATATCTGCAGTGGTTCCACATGGCGGTGTCTGATTGGTGTGCCTGCAGTGGTTCCACATGGTGGTGTCTGATTGGTATATCTGCAGTGGTACCACATGGTGGTGTCTGATTGGTGTGCCTGCAGTGGTTCCACATAGTAGCGTGTGATTGATGAGCCTGCAGTGGTTCCACATGGCGGTGTCTGATTGGTGTGTCTGCAGTGGTTCCACATGGCGGTGTCTGATTGGTGTGCCTGCAGTGGTTCCACATGGTGGTGTCTGATTGGTATATCTGCAGTGGTACCACATGGTGGTGTCTGATTGGTGTGCCTGCAGTGGTTCCACATAGTAGCGTGTGATTGATGAGCCTGCAGTGGTTCCACATGGCGGTGTCTGATTGGTGTGTCTGCAGTGGTTCCACATGGCGGTGTCTGATTGGTGTGTCTGCAGTGGTTCCACATGGTGGTGTCTGATTGGTGTGCCTGCAGTGGTTCCACATGGTGGTGTCTGATTGGTGTGCCTGCAGTGGTTCCACATGGCAGTGTCTGATTGGTGTGCCTGCAGTGGTTCCACATGGCGGTGTCTGATTGGTGTGCCTGCAGTGGTTCCACATGGCGGTGTCTGATTGGTGTGCCTGCAGTGGTTCCACATGGGGGTGTCTGATTGGTGTGCCTGCAGTGGTTCCACATGGTGGTGTCTGATTGGTGTGCCTGCAGTGGTTCCACATGGGGGTGTCTGATTGGTGTGCCTGCAGTGGTTCCACATGGCGGTGTCTGATTGGTGTGCCTGCAGTGGTTCCACATGGGGGTGTCTGATTGGTGTGCCTGCCGTGGTTCCACATGGGGGTGTCTGATTGGTGTGCCTGCAGTGGTTCCACATGGGGGTGTCTGATTGGTGTGCCTGCAGTGGTTCCACATGGTGGTGTCTGATTGGTGTGCCTGCAGTGGTTCCACATGGGGGTGTCTGATTGGTGTGCCTGCAGTGGTTCCACATGGCGGTGTCTGATTGGTGTGCCTGCAGTGGTTCCACATGGTGGTGTCTGATTGGTGTGCCTGCAGTGGTTCCACATGGTGGTGTCTGATTGGTGTGCCTGCAGTGGTTCCACATGGTGGTGTCTGATTGGTGTGCCTGCAGTGGTTCCACATGGCGGTGTCTGATTGGTATATCTGCAGTGGTTCCACATGGCGGTGTCTGATTGGTGTGCCTGCCGTGGTTCCACATGGGGGTGTCTGATTGGTGTGCCTGCCGTGGTTCCACATGGGGGTGTCTGATTGGTGTGCCTGCAGTGGTTCCACATGGTGGTGTCTGATTGGTGTGCCTGCAGTGGTTCCACATGGTGGTGTCTGATTGGTGTGCCTGCAGTAATATCACTTGACAGTGTTCATGGGGTGTGCAGTACAATCACATGGCGGTGTGTAGACATTGATGGGAATTTACTAAGACTGGAGCAGACAGAATCTTGAGCAGCCGTGGATGACAACCAATCAGAGTCTGGCTTTCATTTTCAAAGCTTAACCCCAGGTTCACACCTAAGCGTTTTCTGCCACGTTCTGCAGAATCGCAGTACAGTCCATTTAACATGATTTCCATGACACGCGCTGCGTTTGTTGGAAAGCGTCAGGGACTTTTTTTAACGCAAAACGTTGCATTTTAGGTTCTCTAGACTTCATCGGGAATGCTGCAGAAAACCAGGTATTGCATTTTTGATGCGTTTTGTGTTTTAAATCTGCCTAGCAACAAGAAAAATTAAAAAAAAGTAAAAATCGCAAAACGCATCAAAAACACGGCAAAACGCAATGCAGAAATGCCTCAAACGCATCCTGCATAGGTGTGATCCTACACGATCTCCACCAGATGAAGTTGGAAATGATTGGTTACCGTGCAGAGCTGCTCCAATTTCTGTCTGCTTCAGTTTTAGTCAGTTGCCCCCATTGTGTCTGCGGTGAGATGACAGCAGGGCTGGACTGACAACTCATGGGGCCCCCGGGCAGTAGGGAATCATGGGGCCCCCGTATCCTCGCCCACACCCAAAAAAGCCTATGAAAAAAACAATGAAAGGTACCAGGGGTATCTCATGGGGCCCCCTACTGACCCCGGGCTCTCGGGCCCTCGGGCAGTGCAGCGCCCCTGGATGACAGGACAGTATTTGGTGTGTATTCAGTAATATCACATGACACCGTCCTGCAGTGTTGTCACCTACATCTGTACTGTGTTTCCTCCATCTCCTCACAGCTTCCTGCAGCTCCAGAATGATGAACTCCGCCGACGCTTGGCATATGCTACAACAAAGATGGAGGCCATGGAACATGAGCTGGATGCTGGCCGCCATTACCTGGAGGTGGAACTAAGCCGGAACAGGGAGGAACTGGAGAAACTGAAGGACAAGTTTCGGCGGTAGGTGCAGAAAGCGGTCCCGTCATGTCTTTGCACAGCAGAGTCCAAATAGTCTGCTTATTAAACCCTCGCCTACCGGGCACTTCTACCCCCTTCCTGCCCAGGCCAATTTTCAGCTTTCAGTGATGTCACGCTTTGAATGACAATTGCGCGGTCGTGCAACACTGTACCCATATGACATTGTTATAATTTTTTTCACACGAATAGAGCTTTCTTTTGGTGGTATTTAATCACCGCTGGGTGTTTTATTTTTTGTGCTATAAACAAAAAAGAGCAAAAATTAAAAAAAAAAAAAGTTTTTCTTTGTGTCTACTATAAAATTTAGCAAACAGGTAATTTTTCTCCACTTATGTGCGTTGATGAGGTGGCACTGATATGTGGCATTAATATGCAACACTGATGGCACTGACTGCTAGGCACTGACTGGCAGCACTGCTGGGCACTGATGGGTGGCACTGATGGGCACTGATGGGTGGCACTATTAGACACTGATGGGTGGCACTGATGGGCACAGGTGGGTGGCACTGCTGGGCACTGGTGGGTGGCACTACTAGGCACTGATGGGCACAGGTGGGTGGCACTGCTAGGCACCAATGGGCACAGGTGGGTGGCATTGATGGGCACAGGTGGGTGGCATTAATGGGCACAGGTATGTGGCACTGCTAGATACCAATGGGCACAGGTGGGTGGCATCGATGGGCACAGGTGGGTGGCACTGCTAGGTACCATGAGCGTGCACATCTAAAGGGAATGCGTTCTTTTATATATTGCTTGTGAACAGCAGTACAGTGCCTGACACCAGGACTAAAGATCGTGCCCGCAAATGTTGAAGAGTAAAATGTATGATGGCAGAGAAAGCTAACAGCAGTATGGTACAGTATGGACAGTGGGGATCACGAGGAACTGGGATTGGGGATGTTTGAAATGAAGGTGGGATCAAGATAGCTGCTGCAGCTTCTGGTGTCAGCCACTGTACTGCTGTTCCCAAGCAATATAGGAAAGAACGCATTCCCTTTAGATGTGCACGCTCCTCCCTGCTGGCCACTGCGTACTGCTTACTCTAACTGTGCAATCTACTGATCAGTTGACTGATTACACTCTTAATGGACAAACTGATCAGCAGATTGCAATCAGTCAATTGATCAGTAGATTGCACAGCTAGAGTAAGCAGTACCCAGTGGCCAGCAAGGAGGAGCGTGCACATCTAAAGGGAATGCGTTCTTTCATATATTGCTTGTGAACAGCAGTACAGTGCCTGACACCAGGACTAAAGATCGTGCCCGCACACATTTTTAATTACTGATCAGTTGACTGCCCATTACGAGTGTAATCAAACTGATCAGCAGATTGCACTGGTAAAGTCTGCAGAAATGTGGAGGTACAAGTCTGCTGGAAATTGAGTTGTCGGTTTTAACACACGAGCAGATTTGCCGCAAGTGTTTGGACTACAAGGTAAGGCTGGATTTCAACTTTAAATTGGGCTTAATAGGTATGTATTTGTAATAGCTCCAGCTGCCGCTGTGGCCCCAGAACATCACCAATATACAATGGAGATCGTGTCCTTCCTTCTCCACATCTTTTTGGAGGACACAGCTTGTTCTCCTTCAGTCTCCAGCAAAGTACGTACACTTCAGATTTCTCAAAATGTTATGTTCCCTAAAAAAAAAGGGGTGGGGCTTGAGTAGAGTGGGAGTGGGTGGGGCTTGAGTAGAGTGGGAGTGGCTGCTTTTTAACGTGTGCCTCTTCCACCTCTGACATCATCTTATGTCTGACAGGTTACAGAACAGCTACACGGCCTCCCAGAGGACCAATCAGGACTTGGAGGAGAAGCTGCACACACTGGTAGGTGTCGGTCATATGGTAGGCAGGTTAGTGGTGGGCTGTGTGTGTGAGATCTGTGGGGTGGCCATACGCACGGCAGTATTTCTGATTGGTGGACTGGTAGAACCCGATCCATTCTTAGGGGCTGTTTATAAAGGTTCACGATGGCACTTGGTTTTGCTTGGCCTCAGGTTTATTGATAAAGTAGAATTCCAGCCTCAACCGAGCGAGTCTTAAAAATGTCCATACCCCTCCCAAATACTGACTAACCTTTGTAAAATAAAAAAAAAAAATGTATATATACTTACCTATTCTCAGCCCACTCCGGTCACTTGAACCCCTGTGTCAGCCAGCAGCGGCTGCAGGGGAGAGCACTCAGCAACAGCTGGGAATGCCTGGCAGCGGTGACATCATGCTCATGTCTCAGCTGTTATCAGCGCTCCTCTTCTTCCCTGCAGCCATCGCTAGCTGACACAGGGGATCACATGACTGAACCAGAGTGGGCTGAGAATAGGTAAGTATATACAGGCAGAGGCATCCCTGGGGTTGGTGTCACCGGGTGAGGTAACACGTGGTGTCACCCCTCCAGAGGGGAAGGAGCGGTGCCGGTGTAGCGGTAAAATGAGTATCCCTTGAAGATGTGTATCCCCTGAAGCAACTGCGCCTGTGCCGGTTTCAGGCCGAAGAAGCTGATCTCCGTCTTTAGCACAGAGCCGGCGATCGGCTTCTTCGGTCTGAAACCGGCACATGCGCAGTTGCTTCAGGGGATACTCATTTTACCGCTACACTGGGGAGGGGGCAGCTGTCACTGTTCCGGCATCCTGCTGCTGCACCCCCTGTGATGGTGTCACCTGGTGCGGCCTGCACCCCCCTAGGGACGCCACTGTATACAGGTGTACCTCGGTTTACGAACTGAATGCTTTCTCCGGGACGTTTTTCTTTGTGAAAAATTCGTAAACCGAAACGCAGTTTCCCATAGGAATACATTGAAAACCAATTAATCCGTTCCAAAGGTCAGAAAAAAAGTAAAAAAAAAAACTGTCACTATAGGTCAGTGCCGGTTTTTTAATGTAATTACCGGCTTTTTTTTTTTTTTTCTTCACTATAGCTCAGAGAATCAGCTGTCACTTTCTGCCCAGCTAAAAGAAACAAAGTTTCCTTTTAGTTTATTTCCCAAAGTTAAAATAAAAAAAGTTTCCTTTAGCTCCGGGAAAGTGACAGCTAATTCTGTGAGTTATAATGAAGAAAAAAAAAAAGTCGCTGTCACTATAGGTCAGTTTAAATGTAATTACCGGCTTTTTTTTTTTCTTCACTATAGCTCAGAGAATCAGCTGTCACTTTCCGCCCAGCTAAAAGAAATAAAGTTTCCTTTTAGTTTACTTCCCAAAGTTAAAATAAAAAAAGTTTCCTTTAGCGCCGGGAAAGTGACAGCTAATTCTGTGAGTTATAGTGAAGAAAAAAAAAAGCAGTTGCATTTAAGAATGGGCATACATTTCGCATTGCGAATAAAGTTCGTAAAAAAATTAATAAACCGGGGCATTATTTTCAATAAATTTTCATTCGTAAACTGAAAATTTTGTTAACCGAGGCGTTTGTTAAAAAAAAAAATGTATACAGGTGTACCTCGGTTTACGAACGCCTTGGTTAACGTAATTTTCAGTTTACGAATGAAAATCCATTGAAAATAACGCCTCGATTTACAAATATTTTACAAACTTTTTTTGCAATACGAAGTGTATGTCGGTGCCGATTTTAAATGCAATTGTTTTTTTTTTTTTTTTTCTTCACTATAGCTCACAGAATGAGCTGTCACTTTCCTTGGAGCTAAAGTATACCTTATTTCTTTTAACTGGGGAAATAAACTAAAAGGAGACTTTGTTTCTTTTAGCTGGGGGGGAAAGTGACAGCTGATTTCTGAGTTATAGTGAAAAAAAAAAAAGCCGGCATTGACCTATAGGGACAGCGACTTTTTTTTTTAATTTACTTTTTTCTGACCTCCGGAAAGGATTAATTGGTTTTCAATGCATTCCTATGGGAAACCGCGTTTCGGTTTACGAATTTTTCACAATACGAAATGTCCCGGTGAACGCATTAAATTCCTAAACCGAGGCACACCTGTATGCATTTTTTTTTTTTTTTTTACAAAGGCTAGTCTTCATGGTGATAGGAGGGGTGAGGGGGCATTTTTATGACTAGTTAGGCTAGAATTCTACTTTTTTGGTTAAAAAATAAAATTCTGATTGGTGGCCTTTTTTTTTTAACGTACCACATTTTTAACAGGATCTGCCACGTTTTAGGGGTTCTTAACGCCAAACGCTGGTAGGGCGGATTCCTGATCACGTGATCTACGGTCACAGTGATCGCAGGATCTGGAACAGAGGCGGACTGACCATTTGGAAACTCGGGCACTGCTCGAGGGCCCGGGGTCAGTAGGGGGCCCCATGGGATGCACCTGGTACCTTTTTCATAGGCTTTTTGTGAGTTTGGGCAAGGACACAGGGGCCCCATGATCCCCTATTGCCTGGGGGCCCCATGAGTTGTAAGTCCGCCCCTGATCTGGAACCTATCCTCCTGGCTCCCGAACTTCACTGTGTGAGCGGTAGCTTTTGGTGGCAGCCCGGTCCCAGTGATGGATGTGCGCAATTGAACATGCTCCCAGCACAAAACATACGGCATGTAGGTGGCAGCATGGCATAAGGCCCACCTCTGTTCTGCCCACATATATGTGTATGACCGTCAGGAAGGGGATACGAAATTTGTTAATATTTTCTTTTTCTTCTTTTATTTTTACATTTTCTGTTGGCACCTGCTGCATATAAAAAAAAAAAAATGAGAGATTGAACCTACGAGACAAGTTCAGCTGAATAAAAGCTCTCTTCATAATTATTGTAACACCGGCCTCTTCCTGAAGTTTCCTCACTTTTTCTAGAAATTGCCCAGATTTGTCCTGAAGTTTGTTTTTCTGGAGATGAAAAGGTTCCGTCTCTGTTGTTAGCGTGAGGCAGTCAGTGTTGTCCTTCAACCGATCGATTCTTTCCACTAAAATAATAATAAAATGACTGTTCACAAACCCAAATGGGAAATCCACTCCCTCGCTCATTCAGACGGCGCTGAGTCCAGTCCTCCCTGCTGAGACGCTTTTTGCCACATCTGCATCCACTTCAAAGATGCGTGCAGACAGTCCATGGAAGTGTTAATAATATAAAAAATGTGCCAAAATTTATACAATCCACCCCATAAAGTAAATACCTATATTTGCTATAAGTGTTCAAAATATATAAAAGTCCAAAAAAAATAAATATAAATCCAAAAATTGTGAAAAATATAATTCCAAAAATTATGAAAAAAATATAAAATATACAAATAAAAATGAAAGTCCTTCCAATCCTTCCAATCCTTTCTCCCAATGATAAAAACCTCAAAAAAAGGAGATATCACATAGTGTATTACCTTTTTGATACAACAAAATATTTTATATTTTTTTCATAATTTTTGGAATTATATTTTTCACAATTTTTTGATTTATATTTTTTTTTTTTTTGGACTTTTTATATATTTTGAACACTTATAGCAAATATAAGTATTTACTTTATGGGGTGGATTGTATAAATTTTGGCACATTTTTTATATTATTGTTTCACATCTTCAAGGGTGAAGGTGTTATTTGTGCTATGGGGATTTAAGATTTTGTCTTAGTTGAATCTTTGAACTTGTCACTTGTATTTAAGGAAGTGGTATTTATAGATATACAGTCCATGGAAGTGGATGCAGGTGCAGCGACTGCATGGACGTCTGTCAAAGTTTGACATGCGGGCAGGAGCGGGTGCATGGATTAGAAAGCACAGTGTCTGCATTTGGAGGCTTGCACCCACTCCTGCCTGTATGTTAAATTTTGACATGCGACTGAGTCTGTGCAGCTGCTGCATCCACTTCTATGGCCTTCCTGCACGCAACTCAGAGGTGGATACAGATGCATCAAAAAGCACCTCAGCCCAGAGGATGGGACTCATTTACAGCAGAACTATACTGCATCACAAACCAAAAACGTTAGTTAACTCCTTGGCGCTGACTTGCGTCCTCTCGGCAACTGGGCCTTGACACAGGGAGGTCGCATATTTGCGTAACCGAAGTAAACAAACATGCCAGGAGCACGCACCATGCACGCTCCCGGCACAGTTATCAGTTCCTCATGGAAAACTCCCGAACGTTACTTGCGGTCGAGAGCATTCCGATCATGTGACTGCTGTGACAGCCAATCATGGAGGTCACATGACCCTCAACCCTGCCCTGCCTCCTGGCGTCCAACGGCCGGGAGGCACCATTCAGTTTTAATATTCAAAGCAAACTCCCCCATCCATCCATGTCTCCATGCTTTCTTTTGCTGAGAAATCACTTTGAAAAACACCTCCCTAGCATTCATGGCTGTGGCCATCTTGAGTAAGGGCAGGTGATTCACGTAGCATTTACTTCCTGGGATCCATCTGTCCTTAGCTCAGGCATGCAGTCAGGAGGGTGTGCTTAGCTGAGAAAGCCCTTTCTCCCCTCCTGAAGACTCCTGGGATGTCTGCTATCATTTGCCTAGGCAAGAAACCAGGAAGTAACTGAAGAAATGTTAAAAAAAAAGTTTAAAACAAGTAACTATAACATCTTCTTATCTTTATACTAAGGATTAAAAATAGTCCATGTTGATTGGGAGAGTAAAGTTCTGCTTTAAATGAGCCCTAACGCTGTCCTTGTACCCACAAAATACTCCGTACTTGTGTCAGGTGATGGCTCTCTGTGTCTGGATGGCTTACATATGGCATGCTGACTTCTGCGTCTGCTGATATCAGTGTGCCTGCCAATCCAGGATGCTTCAAAGTGCAGATTCCACATTAAGAAGCTGTAGATTTGGCTCACTGCCTCCTCATTCTGTTGGTCAGTAGAGCATTGGGCATGCCAAAGCCCCAATATAAAAGAACACCCCAGTTTTTCGGCACTTGTAGCATTTCTCAGCGTGCTGAAAAATTATGAATGTTGAGCTAATCGTTTGAAGGTGGTGATCATGGTCAGCTAGTGGACGGATGATTGGAGGAGCCATAATGGTTAGTGGGTGGGTGATTGGAGGAGCCATAATGGTTAGTGGGTGGGTGATTGGAGGAGCCATAATGGTTAGTGGGTGGGTGATTGGAGAAACCACAATGGCTAGTGGGTGGGTGATTGGAGGAGCCACAATGGCTAGTGGACGGGTGATTGCAGGAGCCATAATGGTTAGTGGGTGGGTGATTGCAGGAGCCACAATGGCTAGTGGACGGGTGATTGGAGGAGCCATAATGGTTAGTGGGTGGGTGATTGGAGGAGCCACAATGGTTAGTGGATGGGTGATTGGAGGCACCATAATGGTTAGTGGGTGGGTGAGTGGAGGAGCCATAATGGTTAGTGGGTGGGTGATTGGAGGAGCCATAATGGTTAGTGGGTGGGTGATTGGAGGAGCCATAATACTTAGTGGGTGGTGATTGCAGGATCCACAATTGTTAGTGGGTGGGTGATTGAAGGAGCCACAATAGTTAGTGGGTGGGTGATTGGAGGAGCCATAATGGTTAGTGGGTGGGTGATTGGAGGAGCCATAATGGTTAGTGGGTGGGTGATTGGAGGAGCCATAATGGTTAGTGGGTGGGTGATTGGAGGAGCCATAATGGTTAGTGGGTGATTGAAGGAGCCATAATGGTTAGTGGGTGGGTGATTGGAGGAGCCATAATGGTTAGTGGGTGGGTGATTGAAAGAGCCATAATGGTGAGTGGATGGATAATTAGAGGAGCCATAATGGTTAGTGGGTGGGTGATTGGAGGAGCCATAATGGTTAGTGGGTGGGTGATTGGAGGAGCCATAATGGTTAGTGGGTGGGTGATTGGAGGAGCCATAATGGTGGCTGAATGGTTTAACAATAATTGTGGTTGTTTGGTGGAATCCTCACTTTATTGGACATACTTGTGGAGGTGTTGTGTTGTGTTGTGTTGTGTTGTGTAATCTCTCTATGTACTAATCTGATTTCCATCTAACTCTCTCTTTCTCTCTGCCTCACACTGCCGGTTTTGCAGGCCTCGTTCAGCCAAAGCTGGATCTATTCAGTTGCGTTTGGTAGCTGTAGTGTGAGGGGGGTGGCTACACTTGGGTTCCTTGTCTTGTCCTGTCTGGGGCACCCTGGCCCTCACCAATTATGAGCCTCTTGTCTGAAACCTTCCTCAAATACTCCTCCCCTCCGACAGCTTTGGGATTGTGGAATGTTTGATACCTCAGCTGTATCCCTCCTGTATGATGGGCACTCCTGTCTCTCCTGTGTATGAGCACCCCCAACCCTTGTCCTGCACCCTCCTGGTGATCTCTCTGATCCACACTGACCACATCTCTTTATTTATTCCGCAGATAAAGAAAGCAGAGATGGACCGCAAGACGCTGGACTGGGAGATTGTGGAACTCACCAATAAACTTCTGGATGCAAAAACTACAATTAATAGATTGGAAGAGTTAAATGTCAGTAAAGTGTGTCGTCAATGATGCAATGTTCTTCGTATACCTCACCTATTGTAGCTGCCATACTGTACCTGCTATGTCTTTCCTACCTACTATTTGTACACATCATGCCTACCCTGCCCACCATGACTACCCCAACTACTATTCCTACCGTATTGTACCTATCCTACCTACTATATCTACCCTGCCTATCATACGGTGCCTACTCTGATGACCATATCTTCCCTACCTAGCCTGCCTTCCATACCTACCCTTCCTACCATACTGTGACTTCTCTGCCTACCATATCTTCCCCACATACCCCTCTGCCATACAATGTGTAGCCTGCCTACCATATCTTCCGTGTCATTCATGATGCAACTGCCCTTCCCACCATACCATGCCTACCCTGCCAACCATATCTACCATACCTAGCCTGCCTTCCTACCATACTGTGCCTTCTCTGCCTACCATATCTTCCCCACATACCCCCTCTGCCATACAATGTCTAGCCTGCCTACCATATCTTCCCCACATACCCCCTCTGCCATACAATGTCTAGCCTGCCTACCATATCTTCCCCACTTACCCCTCTACCATGCAATGTCTAGCCTGCCTACCATATCTTCCCCACATACCCCCTCTGCCATACAATTTCTAGCCTGCCTACCATATCTTCCTTGTCATTCATGATGCAACTGCTCTTCTCACCATACCATGCCTACCCTGCCAACTATATCTACCATACCTAGCTTGACTTCCTACCATACTGTGCCTTCTCTGCCTACCATATCTTCCCCACATACCCCCTCTACCCTACAATGTCTAGCCTGCCTACCATATCTTCCCCACATACGCCTCTACCATACAATGTCTAGCCTGCCTACCATATCTTCCCCACATACGCCTCTACCATACAATGTCTAGCCTGCCTACCTACCATATCTTCCCCACTTACCCCCTACCATACAATGTCTAGCCTGCCTACCATATCTTCCCCACATACCCCTCTACCATACAATGTCTAGCCTGCCTACCTACCATCTTGTCTTCTTGATGCAACTTGCCCCCCACCATACCATGTCTAGCCTGCCAACCATATCTTACCCCACATACCCCTCTACCATACTGTGCCTAGCCTGCCTACCATATCTTGTCATATACCCCTCCTACCATACAATGTCTAGCCTGCCTACCATACCATGCCTACCCTGCCAACTATATGTCTAGCCTGCATACCATAGCCTGCCCCCTACCCCTCCTACCATACTGTGCCTTCACTGCTTACCATATCTTCCTTATATACCCCTCCTACCATACAATGTCTAGCCTGCCTACCATATCTTCCCCACATACCCCTCTACCATACAATGTCTAGCCTGCCTACCATATCTTCCTTGTCATTCATGATGCAACTGCCCTTCCCACCATACCATGCCTACCCTGCCAACTATATCTACCATACTGTGCCTGCCATATCTTCCCTACCTATCTTTCCTGCCATACTGTTCCTATCCTGCCTACCATATTTTCTCTACCTACCCAGTCCACCATACCTTCCCCGACTACCCTTCCTGCTGTACTTACTGTACCTTTTGCAACTACCTACACTTTTCTTATAGGGCAGTCACGTATAGAAAGACTAAATCAGGGAACATATAACAAACTTAAAGTGGTTCTAAAGTCTCAAAGTTTTTACCTTCATTAATTCTATGCATGAAGGAAAAAAAAAAAAAAAAACCTGTGTGCAGCTCCACCCTCAGCCCCCCTAATACTCACCAGAGCCTGATCTCGACCCAGCGCTGTGCATGGGAGCAGAGGCTCTCTCTGCTCTCTCCCTCCTCATTGGCTCAGAGACTGCAGCGGGAGTTGTTGGCCCATGCCTCTGTCAATCACAGCCAGTGAGTACGGGGTGTGGCTTAGCTATGCGCTGTGTGTCAATAGACACACACAGTCAGCTTGGGAGCAAGCCCGCATGAGTGCCCCCATAGCAAGTGGCTTGCCATGGGGGCAATCAGCAGAGAGAAAAAGCCAGGAGTGCCAGCGTGGGTCCTGAGAAGAGGAGGATCATGGCTGCTCTGTGCAAAACCATTTCACAGAGCAGGTAAGTATGAATTTCGTTTTTTTTTTTTAACCACTTCCAGTCCAGACACTTTTACCCCCTTCCTGTCCAGGCCAATTTTCAGCTTTCAGTGCTATCACACTTTGAATGACAATAGCGCGGTCATGCAACACTGTACCCATATGAATTTTTTAACATTTTTTTGAGCCAGATACAACTTTATTTTGGTGTATTTATTCACTGCTGGGATTTTTTTTTGCTATATAAATGAAAAAGTCCAAACATTTTGAAAAAAAAGTGTTTTTCTTATACAATTTTGCAAATAAATAATCTTCATACGTCTTGGCCACAATTTATTCAGTTATCTTTTTAGTAAAAAAAAAAAAATACCCCAAATTAGTTTATAACCAAAAATTATAATTTTTAAAAAAAATTTTTTTACATTTTTTTTATATTATTTATTTATTTTTTTTTTACATACTGCCACCCTAGCAGTACAGTGTCACCATAGTGACACTGTACTACTTGTGGGGGGTAATGCAGATTTTTTTTTTTTTACACTGATTGCTTTTGCAACCATAAAGGCTGTAAAAGCAATCATTTCTCCTCTCTGGCTGCATTCTTGCAGCCATTGAGAAATACTGTGTGAGCTGTGATTGGTCACATCTTGTCACATGGTACAAGACTGTTGTGAATGGCCCTGTACCATGTGATCTCTGTGATCATTCACAGATTTCACATGTAGTAAGCAATGATGTCAGAAGTGACATCTTGCTTACACCTATTCATATGATCACTGATTGGCCAATCACTGATCACATGATCAGGACCTTACACAGAGGTTCCGTACAGCAGTCGGTGTTCTGCTGTGTCTGGAGGACAAAGCGGGCACTGGATGGCGTTGCTGCGCGCTCCCAGGGAGCACGCACAATCCAAAATGGCGGGCGCCGTTTACGAACAGCAACCCGCCCCTGCACTGCCACTGTCTGGCCGTTTATATACAACAGCCGGACAGGAAGTGGTTAAATACCTTTAGTACCACTTTAATTAGCTTAGAGCTTCTCTGTTTCCTCCCTTTCACCTCATCAACATCTTAATTCAGTTTTCAAATCCAACCTCTTCATTTTAATTCCATATCTTATTTTAGACCCACTGATCTAATTGGTGGGTCTCTGTGCAATGCAGGCAGATCCTGGTTGGTCGGAGGAGCTGTCAGAGTGCTGTACAAAGCTCTTCCTGATAATCACAGCACCTTGCTTTCCTTCTCCTCTCAAGAAACCTCATACCTGAGCAGTGGAATGGCTCTTGGAAGGAATTATGCAAATATCAAAATGTCTTGGGGTGTCAGGCTGGAGGAGTGGGCATTTCTAGACAGCCCGTGATTGCATGCAGACCACCATAGTTAAAGCCCACATGTGATGCTGAGCCTCCATGATTGAAATACAACTAATTAAAAGGATGAGCCAGGGAGAGGAAAAGAAAGAGGTATATGATACTGGACGTCCTCCAGCCAGGGAATAAGGTGAACTGTATCTGACTTGCTATAGTTTCTAATGCACATTGTGAGAAGCTCACAGTGTGCAGTGAAATCAGAGTCAGCCATTTCAGTCCAGGAGGAGCCGGTACAACTGTGCAAGACAGAGGGAAAGCTTGGAGGTCAGCTTAAAGGAATAGTCCACCTTATAAGTAAATTGACCCACGCAGACAAGGGGCTCCAGTATATTACAGTCAGTGCTGCTGTTAGAAACCAAGGGGCCCCATACAGCCTCCCTGACAGGGCCCCCTCCAAAAACCCCCCCAAAAAACAGTTTGCGATGCTTCAGTTATGAATGATTACAGTGAGTGATCGGTACCGATCACTCATTGTGTTCATTCAGGAAAGAAAGGGTCTGGTAAATGTGACATATTTACTGAACCCATCCCTACTCTCCATTTTGAAGGATCCGATTGTGTGCTTGCAGCTGCCAGTGGGAAGCAGAGGAGGGAAGCTGGCAGCACTGCGGGGGTGGGGGCACATGGGGGGCCCTGAGGGAGACATATGGTGCACAGGGAGGATGGACAATTACTGGGAACCAATCCCCTGTATGACTATCTCTGCAGCAGCTGGGAGGGAGAGGAGAAGCCGGCTTTCAGCTGCTGCAGGAAGAGCCACACAGGGGATCGGTTGCAGTAATTTGTGCTGATCACCCTTCATGCCCACATCCAATTATCCCAGCTGCATGGACCCCCCTGCTGGGCCCCGTACAGGAGGACTGGTGGTACCCCATTATCCCCGGCCCTGCGTCGTGTATCCTGGGCTCTGCTCTCCTACCCTTCATGTTGCTGACCCGGAAACAACATGTAAAGCCTTACTTCCGGGTCCCCAGTGTCAGTGTCCACATTCAGTGGAGTACAGGGGAGACACCGGATGTCTCCTTAAAGAGGACCTGTCACCAAATAGATCCTCGCATAGGGGACAGTTTTGTCATTTATGTGATAAAAAAAAAAAAAAAAAAGTTAATTTATGTATTTTTTTAATTACCTTTGCAGTAATATAATTTGACATTAAAAAAATGAAACTATCACTATTTTATTCTCTAGGGCAGGGGTCTCCAAACTTTTGAAACAAACGGCTAGTTTACTGCCCTTCAGTATTTATGGGGGCAGGACTTTGGTCAGTAGGAGTAGAAAATGCCATGGGCTTGGTTTTACTAAATGGGAGTAAAAAAAATTAGTGGGTGTTAGTGGGAGGAATAATGCCCCATAATTGATGTGAGTGGGAGGAATAGTACCCCATAATTGGTGTCAGTGAGAGGAATAGTGCCCCATCATTGGTGTCAGTGGGAGGAATAGTGCCCCATAATTGGTGTCAGTGAGAGGAATAGTGTCCCATCATTGGTGTCAGTGGGAGGAATAGTGCCCC